AGTAACAGAAAATCTTTGGGGGGGGTGGAGGTTAGAGAGTATAATGGCTAGAATTTTTGAAACCTAATTCTACCTGTTTGGGAAATGTGTTTTATGTAAGATACTTTTTGTGTTATGAACCCTAAACCACAGAATAAACAAAACAAAACATATACTTTGAAGGAGAGAGCACTAAAAATCATTCCTAGTAAGATCCAGCAGTCAAGCAGGAAGGATTCAGGTGAACTTTGAGTCCAGCTAAGACTGTCAGTCACTTTGGATTGTCCTAATGAGTTCTGAGCTAGCAAAGGTCTTCCACTTGTGTGGAGCAAACTGGATTCGAGGAAGGTCCAATAATCACCCATTTTTAGGTAGTTAGTGAGCACCTATTTACTCAGGATAGGTGCTGGGATACAGAGGAGTAAAATTCAGTCCTTCCCCTTAAAGGGCTTATAAACATTCTGGGGGCAGGAGTGGGGGTGGGGGTGGGAGTCGTAAACACAAATAAATGTAATGAAAATAAATGTCCAAATATATTACAAGAACAAAGACAGTTATTTAGATAAGGTGAATTGCTAACATTAAAAAGATATGAATAGATTTCCTTGAGGATCCAACTAGTTTGCGACTTGGTGGAGATGGCTAGGCCTAGTGGGTTGAGTCCAGAGTAAACCAATCATCCAACCAGTGGAAACCCGGTGCGCTGAAGTAGGAAGGCCTGAAACTACTTGTGCAGCCCTCGGGTCGTTCTCACAACCTTTTGTCTCCAGAGATAGAGCGGAAAGGGAAAGGAAAACAGCTGTTCCCCGTCCCTCCTGGAAGGCTATGTCTAAAATGTCTGGGGAGGTAAATCCTAGCAAATAAAGTTGCCAGGCAGGATCTAGTCTGAGATTTGTAAGGGTTTACCATGGGGAATGAAGTGGCAGTTTCCAAAGAGGGTCCCCGTGGCACTCGCTCGGTCCAGAACCTCGCTAGTGGGCATCCGCTCCGAGCCACCTGAAGCCAGTGGTGACAGTAGCGTGCGGCCAGACGGCCCACTCCGGATCCTCCGCAGCACAGGCCCCACGTGCCGCAGTCACTCGCCTAGGCCAAAGGGACCCGGCCCCGCGTCCCCGAGCCCTCGCGCCTGGAGCGCCGCGCTGTCGGAGGCCCTTGGGTGGGCACGCGCCTGTACCCGCTGCGCCATTCCGTTTCTATTTAACCGGGTGCCCAGGTTTGGAGCGTCCGCGAGCTCGCGGAGAGTGGCAGTCACCCCACGAGGGGAGTGGCTCGAGGCCTCCACGCGGCCCGAGCCGCCGCACGGAGGAGAGTCCGCGGAGCGCAGTCTCCGCGGGAACGGCGGTCTGAGGCCCGAAGAAGGCCCGGGGTTCCCAGGGGTGTGGGCTGGGCCCGGATCTGCCCCTGGTAACAAAGCCCGGGCGCGACCCTTCGAGGGTCCCACGCGCCCCCGCCGTGGCGCCGCAGGTCTGCGGGGGCCTCGCGGGCGCGCGCCGAGCTCCGGGGGACGCGCCCCGTGCCAGCTCGCGGACAATGACCCGGGGCCATTCGCCGCCGCTCCCTCGCAGTCCCCGCGCAGCCCGCGGGCAGACCCATTAGCCATTCAGCCGACAAAGCCCTGCGGCCCCGCGCATTGTCCCGCCCGGCGCCCGAGCGCCGTCATTAGCCCTGATTACGCTGAGCCTCCTGACAGCCCCGCGGGCCGCCCCGCGGACCCCCATTCACCGGCGCCCCGTCGCCCCGCCGCACAATGGGAGCGGAAATCGGCCGCGCTCGGGGTCCGGGCTGAATAGAGCCCGAAGCTGCTGCTCTCCTCCTCCCGCTCCATTCACCGGCTCTTTGGATACAATATTTTTTTCCTTTTTGTGAAAATTAGAGAGAGAGAACGAGGTCAAGGAAGACTTTGCTGGAGCTCTTTGCCTGTCATTTGTTTAATGTAAACAAAGAGCAAGCTCTCCCCCGACCCCCAGCCTCCGCTCCCCTCCCTCCCGGATTTTTATAAACAAACTGGTGATGGGAAAGAGGGGGATTGAAGTGGGCTGGAAGACTACAGTGCAACCCAGAGGAACCGTGGCATTTGGGAACATTTTGGATGAAGTCGGAGGGTGGTTGAAATAGCCGAGGAAGAGCCAAGCTGGGGCTGGGGTAAAATCCGCACTCTGGTCAGGTCTGTTGAAATGTAAAAGTGCTGCTTTCTACTGTCCTGAAGTAATTGCTTTTGAGGAAATCGTGACAGGAAAATTAGAAAAGAAAGGAAACCTGATATGGACATTTCCCTCCAATTCAGAACCTTTATTTAGCCTTTCCACTACCCGGAGTTTTTGTTTATAAACTTTCCTTAGGCCAGGTAAAAGAAAATGTGCATGTTCATGGAAAGATTTAGATGGTTAAATAAAATAAATCCATTTGAAGATCTGGGCTGATTTCCAACGTGGGGTCATTCAAAGAATTGATTATTCATAAAGGCAATTAAGTACCACCAGGTTTAAGATAAACACATGAAAACATTTTTAAACAATGCGTCACCACCCTAAGATTCAAAAATGAAATTAGTTGAATAAATCTCCAGATTATTGAAACGTTATAGCTACTTTAAAATGTAATCCTTATGCAGCGGGCTAATTTAAGTAAAGAGTGTATCTTGTTTAAAAGTGTTCACCAAAGCAGAAAGAAAAAAATCCTTCATTGTTTGGCTGTCTAGTTTTCTCCAGGGGTCATTAAAAATGACTTTGTACAGAGAAAGCTTAGTTCCTAGCAACCTTACTCTATTTTCTTGAGATGGCAGAACAGACATTTCCTTCTGCTTTTAGGAATGATTTAAATTGGAAAGTGGGTTGGAATTTTTTAGACTCTCAAGTTATTTTACATCATTCCACTAATTAGTTCTTTCCTTTTCATCTTGGATTGGGGAGCATCAATGAAAAGATAAAATTTGTCAACAAAGTTTTTTGTACCTTGGTTCTGGATAACCCCATAGCTAGGATGAGGAGGAGCTGGACCATAAGGCTGAAAATACTTCTGCTTTATTGAAGTGCAGTCCTGGGCTGAAGCCAGAATGGGGTGAGGCTAGATAACCTAGGGTGCAGCTTTTAAGGAGGTGCTCAATCCCAGGTTCCTTGCTCTTGCCACTTACATGACCTTAAGAGTGTTGCCTTCTTAAATTTTGCAGTGTTAGTTTCTTCCTTGTCAGAGACCCAGACTGCCTAGGCATTAAAGAACTACCAGGGAGCTCTCCTATCCAAACCTCAGAGCCACCCTGCATTTGCTTGTTTGGGGGAAAATACCTGCTTGGTCACAAAAGCTTCCTAAGTGCTTGTGCTTAACTCTTTTGCTAGAAGGAGAGTTGCAGTTTTCAAGAATTTTCTAGATAAAGAACATTGTAACTAACGATGACCATTTGTAAAGTCAGAATGAGATGATTCTGTTTAAGTTATTTAGAAACCAAAAACATCAACCCTTACTCATGTCTCCGGCTTCCAATTGCCTTTTTTACTGCTTTTTGTCTACCAGGACTTCAGTTTTCTCTTGTTTTGTACTTTAGCTTTTTTTCCCCCTTCAGAAATGTTAGCAGACTTCTGACCAAGGGGGTGCCTTCTAAAGACAGAGGGACAGAGGAGCAAATGAAAAAGACTAGTTGGGAGGGAAGTCCAGTCCACGTGATTTAAAAATCAATATCAAATTGTGTAATATGCAATCCATTTCACTAGGGAAAAAAAAGCTTAGAAATTAGTGCACGGTAGGTAGATTTGTGTGTGTGTGTGTGTGTGTGTGTGTGTGTGTGTGTGTGTGTGTGTGTGTGAGTGGTATGGTATATGTGTGTATGCAGGAGGAATAATTAAATGCTAAGAATATTTTATATTTTAATGGAGGTTATCACCAGAGCAACAAAGATCTTGATGACTTGTTGCTTGTTTAATGTGGAGAGCAAATTTAGAAAAGCCCCATGATTTCTCTGTAGCCTTCTTTTATTGTCCATATGTAGCAGGATTGCATACTATCCCTCGCCACAGCATCTCTTGTTGAAAACCATTCATTTCACTAAAACCCTGAATCATTCTGACTCAGGATGGTGGTTGAGATAACTATGATCTTACCTATATTTTTTCCTGCCTTATTTAATAAAAGCTCAATTATAGATGGAGTGCATTTTACCTTGCATGATCCTGGGTGCCCACTGCTTCTGAATAGGAGGGGCATCAAACATGATGGAAAGCCTTTTTATTGTAGAGTCCCTCTGTCTGAGTACATTTGCATTTTTATAAAATAAGATTCATTACTTGAGCCCAGAACTTGTCTTTCCAAATTGTTCCTGAAAATCATTAACATCTCATAAAAATAAATGTGGGATGCATGAACCATGATTACCTGTGCTGTAGGTGTTCAAAGCTGCCTTAGAGGGTGTACTTATGTTGCCCAATTCTAGGTTATTGTAATGTGTATACATATACATATACATACACATGAATACATACATATACATACAATTCAGTGTGGCAGGTGATTCTGGATTTACCAGTGACTGCTTAAAAAATATACTGAAATATATCAAAGGGTACAGAGGAAAGACTGGTGATGCTGTTAGGATAAGAGTCCAACCTGCATGCTTGGTAAAAGGAATAAGAGTGATCTTTTAAAAAACGGAGATAGCAACTCCTTTAATTAAGAAAGGTTGTCCACCAACTTGTTTTATTATTTGGCTTCTCCACACAATGCACCAGCTTGCTCATTTAGAAACAGCAAGTTCCCCAAGCTACAGAGAAACCTACCACAGCAGTCTCTTAAATAAGTAAATAAACAGCATATATATGTTTTGTTTAAAAAAAACTTTAAAGCAAAAGTTATGCATATATAACAGCGTCCTTTCGACGTGAAATACCCACAGGAGACTCGGGGCAGGCGCTCAGCGTGCAGTTCCGTTCCAAAGGCGTCTTTGCAGCCCAATTCTTGGGAAAAAGCAAAGGAAAGAGAACGTGGCTTTGGGTCTGGCCTCGCCGCGGGCACCTGGGTCGCGGTCGCAGCGCCACACACAGCCACTCAGTCCCGCGGGTCCCTGGCCACCTGGCTTCTGCTAGCGCTGGATTTGCTGGTCTCTCATTCTCTCTTTCTTTTGTGTATTTCATTTTTACACTGGATTCTGTTTCTAAGAGTGATGGATGGACAGCTCAGATGTCGCATTCGCTGTCGCTGGAGGTGATGGAGATGGCCGAAGTGGCTGCTTTGCTTGATAGACTGGCGGCCGGGCTGGAGGCGACACCCAACACCTCCGGTGTGCCCTCACCCTCGGCGCCCAGCCCTCGTCCGGAGCCCTGCGACAGAACCTGCTGCTGGAGTCTGTGGGGAAGGAAGGGTCGCAGGTTACAGTACGGAAAGAAGCGATCTGTCCTCTCCCTTTTCTCTCCCAGTCCGCCTCCCTCCAGCTCAGCGGCCAGACGTGGTTCCTCAGCCCCTGACAAGGTGCGGAAGGTGAGATGACAGAGGTTGGGCGGATGCTCAGCTGCATCTCTCCCCAACCGCCTCCAGTTGCCTAGCTCTCCCTTGAGGTCCTTTCTCTGTTTTCCACGAACCGAGTCTTTGGAATACTGGCCTCCCACAATCTTTCTTAGTTGTTGACCACCTTTGGGAGATTTATTTACTGGACTATGAGTTAAAAACAGAGCAGGACAAATAAGGCCCCGGGACATGGGACTCACCCTATTGAGACAAGGCTCTTCGCTCTTGGGATGAAGGAAACGTGACTTTCCACCTCTTAGAAACCGGGACCCTCAAAAACAGCTTTCGAAGCACCAGGGAAGGATGTAACTCGGCTTTACCTAGAATAACTGGAAGCCGACGTACAGCTTCATAATAAGAGCCTGAGCCCACGTTAACAAGAATTAGCTTTGGGCCTCTGGGTTTCTAATTGATTCTCGGGTTTTAATCTTTATTTCTTTCCCGCTCCAGTGAAGCCTTGGTTTGGTGACCCGGACCAGCTGCAGCGGTGACCGCGAAGCCCCATGAACCAGAGACACATACACGCAGAGGGTCGGGGAACCGGGACCTTAGAAAGAAATCCTCCCGTAGGAGATCAGAATGCCGTGGGCTCAGAAACAGAAGACACACTGCGCTCCCCAAATCCTGTTGAATTCCAGTCTTCTGGCATCTGGTTAGGGCCTGGGGAACGCCTCTCCCTCCCCATCCCCTGCGTGCACAAAACACAGAGGCCTCTAGGTACCGACCTGTTTTTGGCTGCAGCCGCCCGATCTCTTTGTCGGCGATTTTTGAACCAGTTGCCCACCTGCGTAGGGGTCAGTCCGGTTGCCTGGGCGAGCTCACGCTTTTTGCTGGGGTTGGGGTATGGGTCCTGCAGGTACCACTCCCGGAGCAGGTGTCGCGTGCGCTCCTTGAAGCAGTGTGTCTTCTGTTCTCCATCCCAAATGGTCCTCGGCAGCGGGAACTTCTTCCTTACCCGATACTTGTCCACCGGCCCCAGGGGCCGCCCACGCAGCTTCTCGGCCTCCTGGTAATGTGCTTCGAGCCACAGTGCCTGCAGCTTGGCGTGTGATTCCTTAGTAAACTTATGGTTTTCCAAGATATGGTACAGCTCACGGTAGTTGCCCCCGTGAAAGGCCACGATGGCTCTGGCGCGCAGCACCGACTCATTCTTGTTGAGGGCCTCACAGGCCGCTGGGGCCACGGGCAGCGACCACAGGAAGCGACCCAGGCGCTCCACATCGCCGCTCTCCTCCAGGGTCTCGCATACCCCGGCCACTTGCTGGGGGCTGAAATTCAAGATGGGCAACTGAAACATCGAGGCAGCGCCGGCGGCAGGGCCTCTGAGCCGGGGGCGGGACGCGCAGCAGATGCCCGCGGGCCGGGCGGGGTGTGCCAGGCTCTCTTCCGACCCGCGGCTGGGGCGAGGGTGGGAGGGAGCGGTCCCGACTGCACAGAGCTGCGGGTTGGCTTCGGCTGCGCTCCGCCGGGGCAAGCCAGCCAGCAAGCGGGCGCTGCTACTGGGGTGGGCGGATTGGCGAGGCGGGCGCCATGGAGACCCTCTGTCAGTCACCGGCCAGCTCTGCCAATCAAGGCTGCGACCAGCGCGCCCCGGCCATTTCAGCACCTCCCAGTACTCGACAGCGCCCGCCGTTTGCCGGAGACTCCTGAGTGTTTTACAGAAACTGGAGGGTGAAAAAGATGTTTGAGAGGCTGAAACACTCGAGAATCGCTGCGTTTCACTCTCTCCGCTCTCCCCATACCCTGCCCCTCCCTCTTGTTTTCCCACCAGAGAGGCAGGGGTGCTACCGGAATTCAGTTTGGGGAGATGCTTGCTTGGGTCGAGAGGTCTCCAGAGGACAAAGAGGATTGGGTGAAGTCGAATCCTCCCAGAATTCGCAAGTTTAGTTGTAAGGAAGCCGCAAGCCCCTCGGGGAGCGCACTCACGAAAGGGACAGAGAGGGGACATGGATCATCTCATGTCTTCGGGGCATCTATCCCTGCATGCTTCCCGATGACCCTTTTCCAGCTGCCAAAGCAGCTGAGTGGGAAGGAAATCTGGAGCAGAAGGGACAGGACCAGGGATCTATAGAAGAGGTCAGTTTGGACTCGATCACCACTCCTTTCAAAAGCCTCCTGAAACACACTCTTGGTAACTTAGATGCTGACCACAAAGCAAGATGCTGACACCAAGCAAGGCCTCTGACCCGAACTAAGTTATACTTTGTAGTTCCCCTCGCCAGTTAATTGTACTTGAACAAAAGTGCCACAGCCACATCTAGAGTGAGAAGTCATCAGTAGGTCAGAACAGCAACTTAAAAGCTTATTTTAAAGATCTTTTAAAATATCGATTTGGTCCTCTTCTGGTAGGCCAATTTTTGCCTCTGCTCTGCCTTTAAGACATACACTTCTTGTGTGGAAACAGAAATCTTGGGTTCTTTTAGTTCAAGAGCAATTCAGTGAAAGCAAAGTAGAAACAGGGAGATGCACAGCGGTGTGTGTTGGGGTAGGGTAGGAAGGCACTTCCTAAACTTTGGACACTGACCCCTCCTGCAGAGACAAGGGCCTTCCTGGCGCTCTGCCTTCTGGCTAGTGGATTGAATTGGTAACTTTTATTGATTCCCAATTGACATCCACATCATACCGTTTTCTGAGGCCTGCATCAGGGAAATCAGGATTTCATGTGGCCTTTGATGGGGGTTGTTTGGTAGGAAGAAAATACTGGGCAAAGGGGGTGACCCAAGAGAATGCCAGGGGTCATCCTATCAGGGAATCCCATGGCAAGGTTCAGCACGGAACTGGACTGGGCCTGGTTGTCTTTTCTTTAGTATCAAGTACACTTTGGATACGGCTTGTACAGATCCAGTAAATCAGAAGGCAGATAGATAGCACAGATGGTTGGAAGTGTCGGGTCAGATCATGCCACGCCTGAGTGCAGGGCAAAGCTGGTTCTGTCGGAAAACCCTGATATTATTTTCACAGATCTTCACAGTTCACTCGAAAAAAGTAACAGAGGGGAAGAGGAAAATGCCCTGTAACCATTTACATCATTTCTGTGAAACTGCCAGCCACCTCAACAGAGTGGCTTTCTTTTTGAAGAGCTCGTTTTTTTGAAGTGCGACAGGGCAGAGGCAAAATAAAGAGGGTGGAGAGAGTAGTGGAAAGCACAAATCTTTTCTAGCTTGGAGCGACTACTGAATCCATCCAAAAGACGCATTTTAGTGAGAAACATCTCATGCAGGGATCCCAGAACCCTTAAGGAAAAGGCGAATCCGTGGTGTAGAACAGTCCCAGGTCAGAGCAGGAACCACAGCAGGACTGCAGGACAGCAGAAGTCCCGCACCTCTAGCCAGGGAAGGAGAGCTGCCCTTGTTCGGATTTGCAAGGGGTTCTTTAGTCTTTTCCCACGGTGGCAAAACAAACAAACAAACAAACAAACAAACAAACAAAAACCTGGCATGTTTTCCCTGCTCTTGTGGAAAAGGCCCACCAGGACCTACAGCAGGCGAACCCACAGCGGTCTCCAACCCCTGGCGCGGCGCTGTAGGTGGCACAGGCTGGCACAGGCTGGCGACCTAATCTCCCTCTGAGCACTTTGGCTGCGCAAAGTTTAGAAGTGGCAGATTTGGGGAGAACTGACTTTTTGCCTTTAACCTTCGTGAGCAAGTCGCCTTAATTTTCCGAATCTAGACATCCCATTCTGGAAATAGGAATTTTTATCTTATAGCCCACTTCCTGAACAATAGTTCCATACATATTAGATAATCGGACACTTTGACAGTTGCGTGTTTGAGGTCCCAGAGGGTAGCTGGGACCCAGGGTCTGAGGCTGGCGGTGTCATAGCATCCAGAGGCGTCTAGGAGACAGAGCAGGCAGCTGGCGACACCGTGTCTAGTTACCTGGACTGAGGCCTGGAGTCTGGGGTCTGCTACCCGGAGAGCTGATCTCCATCGTCAGGGACTTGATTTGCTTTTATTAACTCAAAGAAAACCAAAGGTCGAAGGACACTTTGGAATAACTCTTTTAGTTTGTCAGCTTCCAGCGGAGAAAAATCGGAAGAAATATTGGGCCCATTCTCCATCTCTGGAAAGAGAGACTAGACTCTTCGCTGGGTTCTTAGAAATAACCTTTTAGGCAAAAGGCAGTGGGCCCCACCCCACCCTTAGGCGCGCTTGGTCGGGGGGGGGTTTGCCAGGCGAAAAGGGGCACCTTTGGATTGGTTTTCCTTAATTTTAAGGAAAGAAAAAAAAATTTTTTTAAACCAACAACCAATTTGGGGACGTTTTGCCAATTCTGTAGTGACCCCCTATCCTTCACTTCGCAATTCATTTTTCTTTTGCTAGTAAGGAGGAAGTTGAAAAGGGCAGCAGCCGCACTTTGCCTGTTCGGGTGGCCTCACCCCCACCGCCCAAGTTCCCGCTGGAAATCTTTGGAGTTTAGTACCTCTCAGTGTTCCTGGGGATCTCACCCTTGATTTCTCTCTGCGGGTAGAGGGGCTTGTGGGACACCTTTACTCCCGGCGCAACTGTAGCTCACATTGCCAGAGCTGAATGCAGAGCTCAGAAGTCAATACACTTTTACTTCTGGGTGATAATGTTATCTCGGTTGCCTGCTTCAGACTATTCCCTACTCAAATGCCTGAAAAAATAATGGTATGTTTTCTTCCACACAATTTTGAATAGCCAGGGGCTTTAAGAATGTAGTAATTGAATCTATCTGAATTCCTTGATAAAGGCATTTGTACTGCAACTGAGAGTCACAGGCTAGAAAATAATGAGGCCCCGGGCTTTTGTGTGCCCATTTGGACTTCTGGAGGAGATTTTTGTCTTCCCTTTCCAAAGCCCAGTGTTGATGATAATAGCTGGATTTGCGTTTTTATATCTATAAAAATTTAAATTTTATTTTAAAAGAACTCCTCTGGAATATTTCATTTATAGAAAAATAATCTAGAAAATTTCAAAAGAGATTGTTTTTAGTCTTTGGAATGGCAGTATGAAAATTTCAGTCTCATTTAGTCATTAATTTAGTATTCTGATTTTCAGGTGATACTGCCCATGATAGGTGCATGTTTGTTTATGTGTTTGGTAGCCCAGATCTTCAGATTGTGGAATGAACTCATGATCCTATCTCATAGCTGTTATTTTTCATGTGTTTCTCCTCTAGGAAGCACCTTGTAACGAAGGGCAGAGAGGCCTCTTTATTTCTACTCCTGAGAACAAACACCACCTGAGAAATGGCTTGTAGATGTCCTAGGACTGTAGAATTAACTGGCAAGAAAAGCATTACAATGCAAGTATTGATCCAATTTGAAGAGATTAGGGTGTTTGTTATTATTTTGTTGCTTACCAGCTGTTGTTTAAATGACATTTTTAAATGATGCAAAATTGCTCATGTTTTTAAGCAGAGGAAATTTTTTTATGTTTAAAAGTACTCTTTTTAAAGTAGCGAATAGTAAGTTTAAAAAGGAACATTGTGCTGCCCATCCAACTGTCTCTTGAGTTCTGGTTTTCAGTAGATTCAAGGTCTTTGGATGAGAATTTGATTTTTAAGAAAAAGGGCATATTATAAGTTGTAATCCTTGTAACATAAACTGTAGTTTTAGGTTCACTTTCTCTTGTTTCTAAGGAAAGTCTAAAACTGCGCTGAGCTAAGCACGCTATCTCATTGCTTGCTTAGGGCTATGTATCAAGAGATTCTTGCCTGAAGGATTGATGCTTAGCAATGTGACCAACCTGTCACTTATAAGCACATTATTATCACTAATGAAATATTAATTGAGTGACTGAATGATTAATTCATAGTTCTCTATTGGAACATTTTTTCCCTCATAAGTGTTTTTGTTTGTTTGTTTGTTTTTTGTTTTGTTTTTACTATTTTCAAATCTAGAATCAAAATATCTTTCTAAAATTCTCTTAGTGGGCCAACAAGATGGCTCATTGAATAAAGATGCTTGCCACCAAGCCTGAGTACCTAAGGTCCATCTCTGGATCCCAGATAGTAGCAGGAGAGAACCATCTCCCACAAGCTGTCTTCTGACCTCTATATGTGGTATGCAAGCATGCACACACACACACACACACACACACACACACACACACGAATAAATAAATGAGAGAAAAAAACCTCATAGAAACCTTAAAATTAAAAGACATGAAAGAGTACAAGTTCGTTTAATAACCTCTGGAATTAGGCAAAACTTATTCACATCAAATTGTATGTGTGTATAAATTACATTATATGATACATACATACATACATACATACATACATTATATGATACATTATATGTATCATTTTGCTGTCATAATTTCTTTCTGGATATACTTTACAGTCAAATAGAGGCAGCAATTATTAATAACTACCTTAAATTCTCTGACTTGATCTAATTGTTTAGCAGA